AAACCGGGGACCCTTCAGTCCGCGGGCTGATGCTCCATCCACTGAGCCAAACCAGCTAAGACCATCTCCTGAAATTTTTAGTTATGACCTACATACCTCATTATAGCAGTTGCCTGGTGTTTTGAAAATAATATCCAACCTTAGCTTTTGAGTTATACATGTATTTTAATTTTCAAAAATCCCCCCAGGAGTCATGGTTAGAACTAGCTCATGGCATCACGCCGCCTTGCACCGTGACACTTGGGGGGATGGGAACGGACTACTCACTCTCGTGCTCCTCCTGCACCACCAGATTCACGTGGTCCACACAAGCCTGGATGTCGTTCCACGTAATAAACTCGTTCTTCTCTGCATGTGCCTGGTCTCTCAGCTTCATCAGCTCATCGAGATACCTGCCCCATCCCCCAATAACAAAGACAATGAAGTGCAACAGAATCAAAGGGACCTTCAGGATCACTGTGGGTGACAGGAATGAGAAGATGTGGGGGGTGGGGGGCATGAGAGCGAGGGAGGGAACAGTGGGCAAAGTATCCGAGAGCACAGACAGTTAAGGTACCCCTCAGTTTGATATATTCTAGAGGCCAGCTCCGGGACTGAGTTACCTTAAAGAGAATGTGAACATGGAAGGGTATCACTTATTCTTAACAGCCTCTCAATTCCAAGTAAGACCAACTCTAGAATCAGAGAGGCAGCAGCTCCAAGATAAGGAAATAAGGCCACCCACCAGCTAGGAAATGTAGGGGATGATGTATCAACAAGTCATCATTCAGCAGCTCTTATTGAAGTACTGATTTAGGCAAGGATTTTCAATTGGGGTCAAACGTACTAAGTCAACGGTTAATGCGGAACTGCGCATGTTGCTGATGCAAAAGGTGCAAAGAGATTATGACCTAGTGAGATATATACACAGATATCTGCTGGAGAGATAAGCTGTCCCCTAAAGACCAATCTTAGTATTGTTAATGGCAGGACAGATTTCACAGGAGTCTTGATATGAGAAAATGTGAAACACATACATTACCAAAAACATTCAACTAAATCTCGACATGCCTTTAGACATAATTTCCAACTTACAGGACTAAGACAAGTCTTCGGAAGCACCCAGAACCAGAAGATGGGGCCTTTTATAGGACAACTGGCCCCATCTCTCTGACAAATCAGTGTCGTGAAGAAAGGGACAATTCTGGACTCAAAGCCACCCAAGGGACACAACAGACAGAGGTAACACATGGTCCCAGACCGGGTCCCGGTTTGAACAAGCTAGCGGAAGAGTCTTGGGACAAGTGAGGAAGTATGAAGGTGGACTCCATTCAGAGGATGTTCCAGAATATTATGGCTTTTGTCAGGGTATATGATAAAGTATAAAATGAATAGAAATAGAAAAAAATAAAGATGATCACAGTGACCGTGAAGAAAACCAGAGCTGACGGCCGACCCACACGGAGGTTCCAGCCGTCGGAGGATCCAGTCCGCTCGGCACCCACCTCTGACAGTTCTCCTCCTCGATGTTGGTCAGGCCGGTCACGGAACTGCTCAGCTGCTTCCACACCGTGTTCATGTCTCCCGACTCCAGGGCCCTGTTGATGAGGGCCACGGACGACAGCATCTCCACTGCCACGGAGAGCTCGGGGTGGGTGAGGCTATGCTGCACAGAGCGAGAGGGGCACCGAGTGAGAGACGCGCAGCAGTACCACGGGGTCGAAGTTTCTGGTTAAAAAACTTGGTGTCCCTAACGATGTGGGTGTTCAATTCCCTCCCACTGCTTTCTGTTTTGTTTTGTGTTTTTTTTTTTATTGTTTTCAGAGAAGAAGGGAGAGGGAGAGAGAGATAGAAACATCAATGATGAGAATCATAGATCAGCTGCCTCCTGCATGCCCCCCCCCAACTGGGGATCAAGCCTGCAACCTGGACATGTGCCCTGACAGGGCACATGACAGGGAATTGAACCGTGATCTCCTGGCTCATAGGTCGATGCTCAACCACTGAGCCACACTGGCCGGGCCCTCCCGTTGCGTTTTGCTCACAAGCAGGGCAGGCCCAGCTCACTTACTTCAGGACTCTGCTGCTGCAGCGTGGCCAGCTCCTTCTGATAAAGATCAGCAGCAAATGGATACACCTGGGGCAGCTGGGCTTCGGGGTTCATCAGTTCCAGGACAGTCTTCTCAGCCACGCCCTTCTGGATGGCAGCGTTGATGGCCGCCACGGCTGCCAGCCCTGGCGGAGAACAGGGTCAGAAACACAGCCGGCTGAGGGAGCCCGAGGGGAAGGAGAGGCCAGCTATCACAGAGCGAAGGTGCGCTCCGCGGATGACCTGCCACCCGAAGGGGAACTCCCGTCTTTAGAAAGCGGTCTCCTTTGGATGGGGTGAACTGTAGGTATGCGGACTGTACCGTAACAAAGCCTTTTATTAAAAGCAGCCTCCTCACCTAGACCTTCTTTCTGCTCCAAGTCACCCGCAGCCAGCACTACTCTCTCCCTAAAACCTCCTCCTTTGCTGCAGCTGCCGGCAAGGCACCAGCTTCTTCAGCTGCCACTCAGCGCTCTCCACCGTCTCCCCGAGCCTGACCTTACCCCACCCAGCGCCAAACACCTCCAGAAACCTGATCCCAAGCGCTGTCCTTCCAGACACCTCTCACCTGCTCACACTTCCTTCCCCCTGTTGCCCCATATTAGCACATTGCGGACCAGTAGTTCCATTGCTAGCTTTACCCAGTGGCCAGATAAGTTTCTATTGAACGAGTACAAAAAGCGTTTTACATAAATGTTAAAGGCACGCTTTAAAATCAAATACCCATTGCATTTTGAAGTTATTTATTACCTGTTCTTACAAGCTACTATCTTTTTAAAGTAGGATGCTTTGTAAAACACTGTGAATATGAAGCGAGAATTCTCGTGATCCGTCCGCAATGTGTTACGAGCATCCTTCTCTTTCATCCTCTAGATCTCACCAGTCAATCCCCGACGCTCGCCTGCTGCAGGCGTTACCCTGACCAGCCGAGGTGCTTACTCGCTGAGGGGAGCCACCGTGATGGGAGGAACCCCACTGTCAGAGGCGCCTGGTGGTGGATTACGGCGCGGAGACTGGGGTGCACAAAGGGTGACCTCAAACCCCCAATGACATGAAGCCACTTCCCTCCCCTCCTCGGGAGCCCGGGAGCCAGCCGGGGGGCTTACTTCTCTGGTACTGCTGGGCGGCACTGTTGGCGGCATCCACCGCAGCCTGGAGTTCCTCCTTCTGCAGGGCATCCGCCTGGCCACTCTGAGGAGAGCAAAGGACACTCATGTCAACAGGGCTCTCGCCTCTGCCTCCAGACCAAGTTCTCCTCCCTCCGCAGCAGTCACCGGGACAGAGCCACGGGGCCAGTGGCAGCTCGGCCACGCTGGGGGGTAGAGCGACTTTCTGGATACCAGTCCATTTAAAGAGATATTTTGTGAGAAGCATCAAAATGTCCTGAGATAAAATGGTTACAGAATCACTAGCACACGTATGCTACTCACTCTGGCCAATACGCGCTGGGAGTTTGTAAAATGTATGAGAAAGCCCCTCATATCTGTTCTGAAACCTACACACACCCCCCAAAAAAAACAAAAAAACAGTCACACACAATCTGCTGTGCAGTGAGCAACTCCCCAGTGTTGGCCAGAGGACATAGTGAGGTGCAGTTTTTTAAAGCAGAAATTCCTGAAGTGAGAGTGTAAAAAACTCAGGTTTCCCCGATGGTTTTGGTGGGGGACGAAGGGGAAGGCTTCGGGTGAAGGGGTGGTTAGATGGGGAAGGTGGGTATCACCTATTTTCAGGGGATTTACAACTCTAAAACCAGACACAGCTGAAGACAATGTATATTTTACCTGAGGACATTTTATTTATTGATTTATTTTAAAAGACAGCTCTTTCTTTTTAAATATATCTTTATTGATTTCAGAGAGGAAGGGAGAGGGAGAGACAGAAACATCAATGATGAAAGATAATCACTGATTGGCTGCCTCCTGCACGCCCCTTACTGGGGATCAAGCCCGCAACCTGGGCATGTGGGCATGTGCCCTTGACTGGAATAGAACCCAGGACCCTTCAGTCCGCAGGCTGACGCTCTATCCATTGAGCCAAACCAGCTAGGGCTACCTGAGGACATTTTTAAATCTAATTTAACCCTGGCCGGTTTGGCTCAGTGGATAGAGCGTGGGCTTATGGACCAAAGGGTCCCGGGTTGGATTCCAGTCAAGGGCATGTGCCTTGGTTGCTGGTTCCTCCCTGAACCAGGCCCTCGTCGGGGCTCGTGCAGGAGGCAACCAATCGATGTGTCTCTCTCTCTCTCATTGATATTTCTCTCTGTCTTTCCCTCTCTCTTCCACTCTCTCTAAAAATCAATAGAAACACATCCTCGGTGAGGATTAAAAAACAACAACAAAACATAAATAAACATCTGAGACAAAACTGTGAACTGTGAAAACTAAGGCAAGGTTGATCTTTTATTTTAAATTATTACATTACATCAATCAACCTCATATTTATGTTAGTATCCCATTAAAAAAATGTAAAGCTGGAAAAAAAAGTCTCTATTAAATTAAGTTCTTAGTTAAAATAAGTAAATAAATAAATAAAAACCTAAGTTCTATGCAGGAGAAAAGGTTACACTAGAAAAAGATGGCTCAGAAGTGTCTTTAACACGACAGCACGGGTTCAGCCGGAGGTGCACACACCCTGCGGGTTGCACCCGGGCCTGCTCACCTGTCTCTTCTGCTGCCTGTCGCTCAGGAGCTGCTTCAGGTACCAGTCGCTGTTCTGCTGCTGCAGCCCCCGGAGGCCCAGCGCTGGGGACTGCAGAATCCGGAACAGGGCCAGGGCGCTTCCCTGATCCAAAGCCAGGTTCACGTTTGCTAACGCAGAAAACGCTGCGGAGGGAGAAGGCAAGCGCTTGAGAAAACACTATGTTAACATTAATAACCCAGGATAGTTTTCCTTCCCCCAAATCAACCTCTCCACTCAGATTAGGGAGCAGAATCAGGCCGCCTTTGTTCTCGGCCGTCACAGCCGCCTAAGATCTGGGGACTGGAAAGAACCTTGAAGCCATCGAGCTCCCAGGGGCTCCTGCCAGGCTGCTCCTCAGAGGTAACAGATTCCTGGAGCACGCAGGCCGCGGGCCTACTTAAAAGCTTCCAGATGCAGACAGCCTGGCACCACTGTGGGGGCAAAGTCAGAGGCACCCATCGACACGAGTACAGGCCTAAGTTCCCTCTGAAACGCCAAGTGGTTGTCTGGAGCAAACTACTAAACAGGAGAAGGTCTCCCACAGAAATGGACCACGTTTGGACAATTTTGTTCCAAAAGTATTGTTAGGGAGAATGAAGAGGGCAGAGGAGGGTCCAGGATATGGTGACGGAAGGAGATCAGACTTGGTCAGTGAGCACAGAATGGAGTATGCAGATGCCCTATGATCAAGTTGTACACCTGAAACTTATAAAACATTATTAACCAATTGTTACCCAAAAAACTTAATTATGAAATTTGAAAATTGGCCCGGCCTGAGTGGTTCAGTAGTTGAGTGTCGACCTATGAACCAGGAAGACACGGTTAGATTCCTGGTCAGGGCACATGCCCAGGTGGCAGGCAGGATCCCTAGTAGGGGGCATGCAGGAGGCAGCCAATCAATGATTCTCATCATTGAAGTTTCTATCTCTCTCTCTCCCTCTCCCTTCCTCTCTGAAATCAATAAAAAAAAATATTTTAAAAAAAATTGTGTGGTTTAGTCTATCTGTGCTATGGGAAATTTGAAAGGCATGTATATTATGAGTTGGAATAGGTACTATGGTCAGAATTAAACTGGATCTTGAATGCCGGGTACAATTCAGATTAGAAAAGAGATAAGATATGAAGGCCTTAAGTAGGGAGATCACATGATTTTTTTAAAAAAGCATTAATAATACTACTATTTATTGGGTACTTACTAAGTACCAGGCAGTTTACATACATTATCTCATCATCTGCATGATTCTATGCTCCAGGTGCCCGATGCCACACCGCTGCTGAGGAGGACAAGAGACCAAACCCCAGGTTTGTTCAACTCCGGAGCCCGACTCTTAATGAGCCATGAAATGAACAGAATAAACACAGGAGAGGACTGGGTAGATGGGTCTCCATGGAGTTGTATGCTAGGGCTCTGCACTGGGTCTGGCAAGTGATAAGGAACCAATGCAGGCTCTTGGGCGGAAGAGAGACAACATGAAAATAACACTTTCAAGAAATTAATTTTCTCCAAAAAGAAATTATATTTCTCAAAAGTATGCAACACATATGCAAATATCAATATGAATAGTACAATCTCATTTGTGTTTAAATATGTGTTTTGAAAGGGATGTGCATACAAAATCCATAGTGGTTATTTCTAGGTGACAGGGGTCTGGTTTTTTGTTTATTGTTTACCTCTAGATAACTTGTACTAGTCTCTAAAAGAAAAACAAAGCTATTACTGTGCATTACTTTAAAAATAAAAAGAATAAGATTGCTCTTCAGGGTTTTTTACATGTATAACACAGGGTGGAAGAATGAAACAAGCCAAAATGATCAGTTTAGACAAGTGGTTCCCACCTTTTTGCCCACGCCCCACCTAAGCATCTCTAACATCCTGAATCCCATACCCCAACCCCCCGTGGCATATAATTCTTACTATTCAAAAAGTGAACTATTCACGTGGAGGAAGCCTCAAAGGCCAGGAACTTGGTCTACACAAGCTTCCAAAGAACATGGCATCCATGAAAGAGAAAGATAAAAGAACGAAAGGACAGTGGAAGGACTGAGGAAGAAATCGCTAAGAAATTGTTAAGAAAATAATAATACGAAGTGATATGAAAAAATAGCAAATAAAGTTCCAAAACATATAACAGAGAACTGAAATGGATAACTATGTCACAATATATATTTATAGACTGTCTAGGAGGCCCCTGGAACCGTAAGAAATGCAAAAAATTCACTGTTAATAACTCATTCTCAAATTGCCCCCCTTAAACATCAGATTGCCTCCCTGTTGGGCGTGTGCCCCACGCTGGGAACCACTGGTCTAGAAGCTACAGCAATGAGAGCCGGTGGGGTGAGGACCCGCCTGAAGACAGCGGCAGCTAACAGAAGACACGAATACAAAACACAGTCACAAGCAGCAGTTCCTAAACAAGCCCACTAACGCCTACAAGAAATAAACGAAGTCATCCGTCCAGAACAGATCAGCACTCGCAGTACTGCTATCCCCTCAGGTGCCTGGCTCAGGGTCACACTTACTGTTGACTTTGTTCACGTTGCCTTGAATTTCCGCTTGAGTGAGCAGCTCCTCATAAACGTCCCTCTCTCTCTCAGAGTTTTCTGTCTGAAAATGAGTTAAAAGTGTGATTAGATTAGCTCAGCTCTCTAAGGAGAACACAGCAAGACACTGAACTCCTCCCCCACCGTAACAGAACCAAGAGCAAGGAAAGGAGGTGCCTTAAAATACATAGTAAAGCCCTAGCCGGTTTGGCTCAGTGGATAGAGTGTCAGCCTGCAAACTGAAGGGTCCTGGGTTCGAATCCGACCAAGGGCACGTACCTCAGTTGCAGGCTCCTCCCCGGCCCAGGCCCTGGTTGGGGCGCATACAGAAGGCAACCAATCAAATGTGTTTCTCTCACATCAATGTTTTACTCTTTCTTTCCCTCTCTCTTCCACTCTCTCTAAAAATCAATGGAACCCTAGCTGGTTTGGCTCGGTGGACAGAGCGTCAGCCTATGGACTGAAAGGTACCGGGATCAATTCCTGGTCAAGGGCACATGCCTGGGTTGTGGGCTCGATCCCCCAATCAATGATTCTTTCTCATCACTGATATTTCTCTCTCTTTCCCTCTCACTTCCTCTCTGAAATCAATAAAAATATATTAAAAAATAATAAATAAATCTATAATAATAAAAGCGTAATATGCTAATTAGACCATCCAGCCGAAAGACCTTCTGGACATCCATCCAGCCGACCTTCTAGATCAGGGGTCCTCAAACTTTTTAAACAGGGGGCCAGTTCACTGTCTCTCAGACTGTTGGAGGGCCGGACTATAGTTTAAAAAAAAACTATGAACAAATTCCTATGCACACTGCACATATCTTATTTTGAAGTAAAAAAACAAAATGGAAACAAATACAATATTTGTATTTGCATGTGGCCCGCGGGCCATAGTTTGAGGACCCCTGTTCTAGATGAAGCCGAGGCTGCGAGGGCCGAGGCAAGCCACTGCGGCTGCAAGGGCTGAGCCCCTTGCATGAATTTCATGCATTGGGCCTCTAGTAAATAAATAAAAATCAATGGAAAAAATATCCCTGGGTGAGGATTTAAAAAAAAAAATAGAATTAATTCAGTAGTAGAGAACAAAGTGGATTGCTACAGGACTATAACTAAAGCATAAGAAGCAGGTCCACTTAAGGACAAGCCCTGGGTTCTCCCAGCGCCGGGCAGGCGAGAGAAGGAAGCTCCGGCGAACCTGTCCTGCCCACTCGTGAGCACACAGCCCTGCCTCAGACTGCGCAGAACGGGCCCATCCAGGCACCAGCTCTCAGACCCTCTCATTGGTTTGCACAAAATTCAAGAAAGATAACTAAAGCATAAGAAGCAGGTCCACTTAAGGACAAGCCCTGGGTTCTCCCAGCGCCGGGCAGGCGAGAGAAGGAAGCTCCGGCGAACCTGTCCTGCCCACTCGTGAGCACACAGCCCTGCCTCAGACTGCGCAGAACGGGCCCATCCAGGCACCAGCTCTCAGACCCTCTCATTGGTTTGCACAAAATTCAAGAAGAAACTTTAAATCAAAGTGGAATCTAAGGCCAAAAGACTACATCCTGTGTAAATCCATTTCGTTTATATGAATTTCCCAGGGAAAAACTATAGTGATAAAAACAGATTGGTAGTTGGCTGGGGTCAGGGGTGTCAGGCGTGGGGGACAGACTTTTACTGCAGGGGCCTGGCAAGTTTTAGGTGATGATTACATAACCACATGTATTTGCCAACACTCGTCAAACCATACACTTAAAATGAGTGAATTTCACTATCCTGTACATTGTACCTCAATAAAACTGTTTTTTAAAATCAAATGAGAAAGAAGAGATGTTCCACTTTTACCCTGTTTCTGGCATTTGTCGTTTTGTCGTGCTTGGCCTGGTAGAGGACGTCCTGGTAGGTGGAAGCCAAGGACTCTTCAAGATTGACAAGCATGGCGTTGGGGTTTTTCAAAGCCGCAAATGTGTCAGCGGGAATTCTACGGTCCACAGCTTCGTTAATAGCGATAACGGCAGCATGTACTACAAATAAATTAAAAACACAGAACACTGAGTGATACAGAGTATAGGATATACGTTACACACACAAAACCACCCTGCAACACAACATTACAGAGGGGGCTTGCTTTCATAGAGGAATAACACCTGGGGTTGGAGGAGTGGCTCCCTGAGTCCTGTAAGCCCGGTCCCTTCCTTAGGATGCACGAAGCCACATTTGGGACGCTGAATTTGGAAACTCACAGGGAAATATCCACAAGAGAGCCTTGCAAGGAGCATGTGTTAGGGAAATGCTCACCCTTCATCATCATGTAAACACCATAAGAAAATTAGCGCCTCAAAGAGGCACTGAAATGTAGACCTCACTAAGTGTTTGTATTATAATCACAATCAATCACGTATTTCCAAACAATAGCATAAAAGACTATAGCGGTGTTTAAAACTAGATCTACTCGCCCTAGCCGGTTTGGCTCAGTGGACAGAGCGTTGGCCTGCGGACTGAAGGGTCCCAGGTTGGATACTAGTCAAGGGCACGTGCCTGGGTTGTGGGCTCGACCCCCAGTATGGGACATGCAGGAGGCAGTCAATCAATGGTTCTCTCTCATCATTGATGTTTCTATCTCTCCCTCTCTGAAATCAATAAAAATATCTTTAAAAACAAAACACAAACAACAACAAAACACCTAGATCTACTGACCTAAGCTTGCTAGCAAAACTCCTAATGTCCAAGACCATCATTAAAGTATCCGTCACCGAAAGAGGTGGCAACAATCCCATTTGAACCCCATTTCTCTCTTACGTGCAGCTTCGTCCACGGAGAGTTCGTTGGCCAGGATGCCCCCGATCTTGCTGAAGGCAGGCATCTGGATCCCGTACTTCTCCAGCTCAATCTTCATGTTGTTGATTTCTTCTTCTACAGGAGAGAAGTGAAACGCAGGCAGACGAGTTAAGCGCCTTTCCAAAACTCAGAGAAGGAAACAGATCCTTCAACTACAAAAACTGGATGAGATGGACTCTACCCCTCAGGGCTGTTAAAAGGATTAATGAGACAGCATTTAACACAGTCCCTGGTACATAACATGCGCTCAGGAGGAGTAAACTATTATTACTATTATCAAGGGCATCAAAATTAACTACAGCACGAGAATGGCCCTGCTGAAAACTGCTTTTTCCAAACGGCTACTTATGGCATTTCCCACGATGAACCTATGAGTAGAGCGGCATCAAAGGAAGCGCCACTAGAAGTGAATTAGTTCCAAGCCGGTCGGCATCTCCATTTTTACCATCAAAACCACTAGCGACTATTAAACAATTTCATTTCGACGGCAGGAAGCCCAGTGATAAAGAAAACAACACAGAAGGTCAGGCCCTTGCCCCAGGTCTGGTGAACGACTTCCCGGGGAGGAAAACCAGCACAGATAGAAGTGTTGTTGCCGTTTTTTTATATTCCCAGGCCTATGAAAGAATCCCCAGTTTGAAAGATTTGAATCTGTCCTACCCCTAACCAATAAATATCACGTCTGATCTTTTCTCCCCGAGCCCCCATCTCTTCAAGCATCTGACTATAGCAGATACTCAGAGTAAGGTAAATAAACTAAAATTACCCAAATACGTAAAAATTACAAAAGTGTCATCCTTGTCTCCTCTCACTCCCCCTAGCTCTGCCCCCAGGAGATGCCTGTTGGAAGGAAAGGGTTGGAGGAGTGGCTTTTTTCACAGCACAGAAGCACTTAAAATTACGTGTTAATACTACATATATATATACGCTAATATTATCCCCAACTTAGATATAAGAAAACCAAGACTCACAAATCATACCCAGGTCATAACTGAGAGGAAAGAGCCTAAAATCCCAATTTTAGTGTTCTTTCCTCCACCCAGAGGGGAACGCTGTTTATACTGCTTTCATCTCTGCTGCCAGAGTATTTTTAAAGCCCCGCGTCATGAAGATTGGTTTTGTTGACTCTCCAGGCTATTTCCACATAAACTGAGTATTTCCTGCTGGGTTTGCAACTCCTTACCCGTGAAGTCAACCTTTCCATACAGGTCCTGAATCTGAGGAGCCAGGCCTAGTTTGAACAGGTACAAACTAGAAAACACAAATATGCAAAGAGTTAGGCCTCCAGCCATACCTGCCCCTGCTGCTCCTAAAGGGAGAAATCAGCATAAAGAACAGAAACATTCAGCCCTAGCCAGTGTGGCTCAGTGGATAGAGCGTCGGCCTGTGACCTAAAGGGTTCCAGGTTCGATTCCAGTCAAGAGCACATGCCTGGGTTGCGGGTTCCATCCCCAGTGTGGGGCGTGCAGGAGGCAGCCGATCAATGATTCTCTCTCATCATTGATATTTCTCTCTCTCTCCCCCTCTCTCCCTTCCTCTCTGAAATCAATAATTTTATATATATAAAAAGAACAGAAACATTCTGAACAGAGACTCCCAGGACACCACAATATTCCCCATTGCAGTTACCATACTTTACCTCAGAGCCTTTTTTTAGTTTTACATAATAACATTGTCCTAAAAAGTCACATAATGTAATGCAAAGGGCACTGGGCTGGGAATCAGTAGACACAAGTTCAAATCCAAGTTCCAGTAGGAATCTAGTATGTAATTAAATGTTAACATAATTAATGGAAGTGAAGAATCTTCACTTTGGGTTACCTTCCTGTGATCAATGTTTGAAGTAACAAGACATTTTAGAAAAGTCTCATGAAAATGATTCAGATTAAAAAAACATATTTAAACTGAATTCTTATTACCAATGAAAAAGTATCAGGTAATTTAAGAGTTTTAAATAGAGTACATATATATACTTTCCTCTTAAATTAAAATCTACTAGACTCTCAGCTTCATGAAGGCAGGGACAATAAATAAAAGCCTTGTTCACCAATGTCTACTCAGAGCCTTGCATCTATATATATAAAAGCCTAAGCGACTGGCTGACTGCTTGACCGGTAGCTATGACACACACTGACCACCAGGGGACAGACGCTCAACACACAGGCATGGAAGCATGGAACAGACTGATGAATCTCAGGGGAAGGGGGAAGGAGGGAGGGTGGGAAGAGACTAACCAAAGATCTTATATGCATACTAGAGGCCGGGTGCACGTATTTGTGCACCGGTGGTGGGGTCCCTCAGTCTGGCCTGCGGGGATCAGGCCGAAACCAGCAGTCCGACATCCCCCGAGGGGTCCCAGATTGTGAGAGGGCACAGGCCAGGCCAAGGGACCCCACCGGTGTACAATCTGTGCACCGCGCCTCTAGTATATTAATAAATATCAATCAGTATCTCAGAGGGGCTGGATGAATAAATAAATAAATAAATGCCTATAAGACTGAGTTAAGTTAACTGGATTGTAAGGCCCCAGCACATCAGAATCAATAAATGAGAAGACATCAGGACAGTTTATAGGGATGGCCATGAACAAGACATTGACAGTCCAGCAATAAGGGAGGATATAGGAAGTATCTAAGAGCCCAGCTGGAGGGGCCCAGTGGTTGAGTGTAGACCTATGAACCAGGAGGTCACACGCCTAGTTGTAGGCTCAATCCCCAGCAGGGGGTGTGCGAGAGGCAGCTGATCAATGATTCTCTTTCATTATTGATGTTTCTATCTCTCTCTCTCCCTCTACCTTCATCTCTGAAATCAATAAGAATATATACTTTTAAAAAAGTATCTAAGAAACAAACCACAGAAACTCAATAAAATGGTTTGCAAATAATCTATAAACCTCAGTATTATCTAAACAGAAATATGTATAATGCATATTACATTCACAGAACTGTTCAGAACTTATATTGTATAAAAAAATGTATAATCTAAAAAAATTATTGATGTTTCTATCTCTCTCTCTCTCTCTACCTTCCTCTCTGAAATCAATAAGAATATATACTTTTTAAAAAGTATCTAAGAAACAAAACCACAGAAACTCAGTAAAATGGTTTGCAAATAGTCTATAAACCTCAGTATTATCTAAACAGAAATACGTATAATGCATATTACATTCACAGAACTGATCAGAACTTATATTGTATTAAAAAATGTATAATCTAAAAAAACAAAAAAAACCCCACAAATGTTCTGAACACACATTCCAATTTATGCATCCACAGTAGTTAATAATTTTCTCAGGTAAGTACAAGTATAAATCATATTATGATTAAGTGCTTTTCTTCAGAGTACAATGCTCAAGATGGAACTATATAAGATTCCTCTCTCAGAAGATTTTGAATCTATTAAATAAATTTTCCAAACCAGAAAAGCTTCTACCTTCCTGTACATACACTGAGTGGCCAGATTATTATGACCACCCCATCAGTACAATGAAGTGACTTAGTTATGCAAATAATAATAATAATAAGACCACCCCATCTAGTACTTCATTGACACTTCCAAAAATACTGAATATTGAAAACTTCCTAAGCAAATACTCTCAAGGTTTTATCATTATTATTATTTGCATAACTAATTCACTTCATTGTACTGATGGGGTGGTCATAATAATCTGGCCACTCAGTGTATAAAATGTTCCTTTCTATATTTTACCCACATAATATGTTCTACCTAAAGTATGAGTTATTTTTCTCCAGGAATTTCTTCCTCTTATTCCTAGTTTAAAACAGGAAAGTGAATGTCACCTTCACAGCCTTAAGAAGTGTGTTAGCTTTCAATGTCCTCGGCAGTAAATTAAAGGTGTTACAACAACATCACCAGCGTGTGAAAGTAGAGAAGGGAAGGCCCCGGTACCATCTTTCTGTGATCTCGTTTTGAGTACTGGGAATTTTTTTTTTTTTTAAACACACACACACTTCTGAAACATTGCAAGCAATCAAGGCTTTGTGTTGTGTGTTTTTTTAAAGTATGAGTTATTTTTCTCCAGGAATTTCTTCCTCTTATTCCTAGTTTAAAACAGGAAAGTGAATGTCACCTTCACAGCCTTAAGAAGTGTGTTAGCTTTCAATGTCCTCGGCAGTAAATTAAAGGTGTTACAACAACATCACCAGCGTGTGAAAGTAGAGAAGGGAAGGCCCCGGCACTATCTTTCCGTGATCTCGTTTTGAGTACTAGGAATTTTTTTTTTTTTTAAACACACACACACTTCTGAAACATTGCAAGCAATCAAGGCTTTGTGTTGTTGTTTTTTTAACTTTTTTTAAAAATATATTTTATTGATTTTTTACAGAGAGGAAGGGAGAGAGATAGAGAGTTAGAAACATCGATGAGAGAGAAACATCGATCAGCTGCCTCCTGCACATCTCCTACTGGGGATGTGCCCGCAACCCAGGTACATGCCCTTGACCGGAATCGAACCTGGGACCTTTCAGTCCGCAGGCCGACGCTCTATCCACTGAGCCAAACCGGTTTCGGCGAGTACTAGGAATATTTTAAGGAGATGCTGAAGCTATGGGTGCAATCGTCATGGCCGCTTAGATCTTCTTGCCCCAAATCGAAAGTACTAAACCTCAAAGCTGGAGCTTCACAAATGCTAACGGTCCGCCCCCCTTCCCAGGCTTTGTTCCTGCTCTCCCGCGCCCACTTTTACAAATAAGCTGTTAGGTGCCCCTGCCCATCAGCCTATAACAGAGCTCAGATCTCCTTTCCTTTCCTCTTTTCCTATTTAAGCGGTACGTTACGGCAACGGGGAGAAAGAAGCTGTGCTAGCCTGTCTGGATTTGTTATCTTTGCCGACAGCAGAGTAACTCTGAAGTCACTATGCTAATCTCAAAGATGATTACTAGCCCTAGCTGGTTTGACTCAGTAGATAGAGCATCCCGGGTTCAATTCCAGTCAAGGGCACAAGCCTGGATTGCAGACTCGATCCCCAGTAAGGGGCGAGCCAGAAGCAGCCAATCAATGATTCTATCTCATCATTGATGCTTCTATCAATCTCTCCCTTTCTCTCTAAAATTAATAAAATATATGTGTTTTTTAAAAGACGATTAATAAAGGCTCTGAAACTCAAACACAGCAGCTGATTAGGAAGCAGAATCTAGTACAGGCCCACGATCCCATATCTAAAATCTTTGGGCCAGATATAGATTTAGGACTTCTCAGATAGCAGAAAGGTTTACAGTGTACACAGGATTATAAAACAACTCCAGCAAACTTTGAGGCAGCCCCCCTAAACAAATACATTACTTTTCTGCAGAGAAACATCCATATAATCATACCAAGTACATGAATCTAGAGCAGCGGTTCTCAACCTGTGGGTCGTGACCCCTTTGGGGGTCGAACGACCCTTTCACAGGGGTCGCCTAAGACCATCGGAAAATACATATATAATTACATATTGTTTTTGTGATTAATCACTATGCTTTAATTATGTTCAATTTGTAACAATGAAAATACATCCTGCATATCAGATATTTACATGACGATTCATAACAGTAGCAAAATTACAGTTATGAAGTAGCAATGAAAATAATTTTATGGTTGGGGGTCACCACAACATGAGGAACTGTATTAAAGGGTTGTGGCATTAGGAAGGTTGAGAACCACTGGATATGATCCCAAACTCAGTTCTTAGAAAGATAACATATAGAAATGTAATTGGAATAATGGAGAATGGGGGTCTTATCTGAGAGTAGAATGTAATCTACAAGAGTAATTTTTTCAGGTGACTAAATACAGTGACTATCGCTGGAATAATGCCAGTCAAGACTGAAAGGCAGGGGAGGGAGAAAGGGAGAGGAACACAGGGAGATGATGCTTCTGTTACTGTTGACCCAAAAGGGAGCGGTGCCTCGCCCAGTGGAGTGAAGTGAGGAGCCTGCCTTGAACAAGGCTGTGTTTTAAGGGAAAGAGGCTCCAGGCAGGTACACACGCTTCCTACATATTATCAAGTGTTGCCAACGCCACCCTCCGGGAAAATCACTATTAAGGGAGGAAAGAAATCAGAAGCCGCCAAGCAGAACACACTGCTCTGTTTATACTTTCTAAGCACGGACTGCACACTGAAGAGAAATGGCGAACAATAGCAGACTTCCTCCCTTTCTCTTTGGACTCCGGACTCCGTCATTCGAAAGGCACAGTTAACTCTTCATCTCCATTTCGGAGAATCTGAGGACCTGGGACCCAGGTCACACTACAGGGACGAGTGGCTAAGAGCTGGCAGAGAGGAATTCGCCAGCTGGGCCTCTGTGCCTGCCAAGTTCAGGTCCCCTTCGGAGGCACGGCCTTCTCAAGGTTATCGACGGACAGACCTCGCGTAACACGAATTTAATCCGAAGAATGCATCTAGTTTTGACTCAGACTCACACATTTCAAATTGCTACACTATGAAAATTCCCCTAGATATCACCCATTCCTAAACATTTTAAAGAATTCTCATGCTACCATTGTTTGTTCAACATTATTCTGTGTTCCCTGGGGGGCAGAATGTAAGGCATGACCTCTGTCCCTAGGATGCTAATCATGTAACTGAGAGAAAAGATTAAAATTATGGAAGAAATAGCATATAACTAAAACAAACAAAACAAAACACAAAACTAATAAAACCAAGAAACAAACTACAGGAGTTTAGACGAAGGCATGAGCTGGAGAAATCATAAAATTTCACAGACAGTGGGAATGGAGCGAAGATTTGACCGGCTCAGCCAAGACAAACATAAAGTCATCTGATAAAGGGCAAGTACCACTTCCCTTGTACAGTTATTTATAGGGCAGAGAGTCTCCCCTTGAGCTGGAGGAGGGGCAGGAAAACTTGCTATAATGTATGATTGGGACGAATTTATTGTTTACTGACTATATACGCGAGGCATCTAAGTGCTACAGACACAAAGATAAGGAAAGAATAAAGGAAACAGTTCTTGCCCCCAAGGAGTCCACAAAAAACAAGTGACATATAAGAACGAATAACCAGCGTACAATGTAACAAGCACTAGACTTGAAGGAAGAGGTTTCTACAAAGTAATGCTAGAGGAGCACAAAGCAAGGAAGTAGCTAATTCTGCCTGAAAGATAACAAGTTTTAAAAAAATGTATCAAAAAATGTATCTGAGGTGTTAGGGGGAGAAGGGCAGTCTGGCAAAGGCACAGCATGGCACTGGGGTAGGAAGACAAGCGCACAGCTACAGAGGAGGGAATGGGTGCGGGTGAGCCTGGAACGGAGCCATCCAATATTTTATGGAGGGTCTGATATAGGCAGGGCTGTTCTGGAAAGACAGCTCTGGTGGCAGATGGACCAGGAGGAAAGAGCCTACGGAGGGAACCTTCTAGAAAGGAGGTTAATGCCGTGGTCCACAGAAGAGATTCCCTAGTCCTGAGGGATAGTCTTTCTTTTGTGGGTTTCACACTTTTGTGGGTTCTGGTGATAATCAACATCTGGCACATGTTTGATCTCAATGAAGGCAACAGGCTACTTATTATACAATGTCAATATTATACATACAGTCATGTAAATATAAGTAACATGAAGCACGCATACAGCATGCTACATAAAATGAGCAGCCTGAGCAAGAACTCTCACACGCATGTCCCATCACCTTCTCCTTTAGTCCCACAGCCATCGTGTAAATGGGGACCACTCTGAAATACTATAAGCACCTACTCCCATCCCATCCTAAACCCACCTCCATATACATTGTCTCTTCCTTCCAATTTTGTACTTTGTTGATTCTAAGTCATCTTCCAAATCTATATATATAAAAACTTAATACACAAATTGTCCCCTCGGGAGTTCGACCGGGAGTTCGATTGCTTGCTATGACATGCGCTAACCACCAGGAGGCAGCACAGAATGAAGGAAGGCCCCGGCCGGCAGCCAGAAGGCCCCCCGATCAGCCCTGATCACCAGCCAGGCCTAGGGACCCTACCTATGCATGAATTTCGTGCACTGGGCTTCTAGTTTACTATTAAATGGTGAAAAAAATTTTTCTTTGTTTCAGTTCCTATTTATTTCTTTGGCATAAAATTTATTTAGTGAACAAATGGCTTGGTGAGGACCTAAATAACTAAATAAATTATAAATCAACCATTTGATATTTCCTGGTATTATTTGAAGATGTTGACAAAATTTGATTGTACTACTAAAGAGCATCAAGACATAGTTTATTTTGTAATTCAGCTTATCAGCTTGAAACAAAGTGATAAACAATAAAAGTTTCAAATGTATATATTTTTTGTAATTTTTGAGAGATTTTAATTAAAAAGGGACTGCATCCAGTGGGAAATGCATAGTTCACAGAAACCCAAGATCAATAATGAAAGATTATACTATGTTTTCACACCAGTATTATCTTCTTTTATGGAAATAAATAATCCTTTCTCCCTGCCCCCTAGAAAAACACAGCTGTTTCTCACCATTTTGTTAAAATAATAGTATCCTATTCTACTTAAAAATTCTGAAGCTAATGCACAGCCTTTTTCATTACCCCATAGACAAAAAACTACATAGTCAATTCAGATGTTATTCCTAAACTGCTTTTTAAAATTGAGATATGACTGACATACAACATTATCAGTTTCAGGTATACAACATAATGATTTCATAGATATAATATTGAAATGATAGTTAACATCTGTCACCAAATATAGTTATAAATTTTTTTTCTTGTGATGAGAACTTAAGATCTATACTTTCTTAGCAACTTTCAAATATACAACACGGTATTATTAACTACTAGAGGCCCGGTGCATGAAATTCATGCACTCGGGGAGGGGGGGTGTCCCTCAGCCTGGCCTGCACCCTCTCACATCCCGGGAGCCCTCAGGGCTCAGGGGATGTCTAACTGATGGCTTAGGCCCGCTACCTGTGGGCCTAATCCATCAGTTGGACATCCTTAGCGCTGCCACAGAGGTGGGAGAGGCTCCTGCCACCGCAGCTGCACTCAGCAGCCGTGAGCCCGGCTTCTGGCTGAGCGGCGCTCCCCCTGTGGGAGCACACTGACCACCAGGAGGCAGCCCCTGCATTGAGCGTCTGCCCCCTGGTGGTCAGTGTGCGTCATAGCAACTGGTCATTCTGCCGTTCAATTTGCTTATTAGCCTTTTATTATATAGGATAGACACTACACTGCACATTACATCAGCAGGCCTCAATTATTCTATATCTGGAAGTTTGTACCTTTTGACCACTTTTACTCATTTCACCCATCCCTCAACCCCCACCTCTGGCAACCACTGATCCGTTCTCTGTGCACTGCTTATTTTACCAAGAAAATCTGATTACCTGAGTGCATGGATACAATAGATACATCGAGGCATGTTCTTTCGGTCATAGATATCTGTGGTTTCTGGGTAAAAAATCTGAGGAGAAATAAAAGCAGTAGAGTAAGTATCCATCCGCTGGATTTCTTTTGATCACTCACCAATCATCAATAACACAAATAAAATGTCGGACAGTTAGCAAACATTGTTGGCATTCAGCAAATTACTTCATTAGGGTGAAGAGACATTTCACTATAAGTAGTGCAAGGAATAAAATGCTACAATACGGAATGAAAAACACTATTTGAATAAACCTTATTTGGTCAACCCACTGAATGTCCCTGGGTATGTGAAAGTGACTTATGCACTACAGACTCAGTCATGGGCAAATCAATCCCAAGTTCTAGTCCAGTTTACAACACTGGCTTTGCTTTGAGACAGCATAGAGGGACCTTGGAGAGCATCATGCTAAGTGAAATAAGTCAGTCAGAGAAAGACAAGTATCACATGATCTCACTCATATGTGGAATAGGGGGCCTGTGGGGCGTGGGGGGAAGAGGTGGCATATGTAATACTTTCAATAAAGAATTATTTAAAATAATAAATAAAACACTGGCTTTGAAGGATTGTAATCTTCCTGGTTACTATCTGCCATGCCTAGACTGGGTAGGAATCCCACAGAACATTTACTAAGTGCTTCCGTCTGTGCAAACCACTACATTTAGACACTGAAAAAACTATCAAACATTACACTATATCGTACTGCTTGGGGGAAGTGGGAAGACACTGAGATGAAGGAGCTAGAATAGAGGGTGTACAGTATGGGACTGTGGGTGATGGGTGGTTTTCCTTGGCAGTACTTAGCACAATCAATCAATCACTTGTGCTATCATCTGCTTGACTCCTCCACCAGCCCATAAGCCACATGACGGCAGGGACCCGCTCCGGGCTGCTCACTGCTGTATCTTCGATGCCAAGCCCAGTGCCAAGTTCATGGAAGGAGCTCTATACTTAACGCATTTGTGAATGAGGTGGAATAGGAACAGAGTAGCTTTAGAGTGTGAATAGCCTTGAAGTTCAAAACCTATTCTCATGGTAATGAGACACCACACACGACTCAACCTGTAATCTAGGGGGGAAGGATTGGAGAAGTGAAAGGCTGAATTATAAGGTGATTAGAAGAATTCTGACAAGGCAGTGGGAGATGCTACAGCACTAGGTATCTATTACAGCACTTAATACATTGTGTTCAATTCTTCGTTTTATTGTTGTTGTTTTTGTTTTTGTTTTTTTAATATATTTTATTGATGTTTTTATGATAGAAACATCAATGATGAGAGAGAATCATTGATCAGCTGCCTCCTGCATGTTCCCCACTGGGGATGGAGCCTGCAACCCAGGCATATGCCCTTGACCAGAATCGAACCCGGGACCTTCCAGTCTGCAGGCCGACGCTCTATCCACTGAGCCAAATAGGCCAGGGCCAATTCTTTGTTTTGATGCTTGTCCCATAATCATCCTGCCTCTCCACTGGAAAGAACTGCCCCCATCCCCACACCCCACACCCGAGAAATGGGATGTATCAGAATCATCCTTTTTGATAATTTTTCCAGCTCCACGTGCTCACTTCCCAAGATTGGGATGTCCTCCCCTGAAAGGTGAAAATCCCAGTCGCCATGAGCCAACCTCCCCGAAAACAGCAGAGAATACAGTTCAGAAACAGGAAAGTAAGGTTGGGTAGGTAGGACGGAATCAGATTGTGAGGCCCTGGAGAGTCAGGCAAGTCTGAACCTGATACGCAGGCCACAGAGAAGTCCTCACTTTGGAGCCAAAGAGTGAAAATGGAGCCTCAGAGCCCCGGGAAGATCTGACTGGAGACAAGACACAGGATGCAGCGAATGGCGGGGAGATGGAAGCTCAGGAGGCCGCTGGCAGGCTGTGCCAGCAGATCAAAGAGGCGCTTCCACTAAAGGAGGGAGGCTGGGGCAATCACTGCATGTAGGAGGCCAAGGGGACGCCAAGGTTTGGAGCCCGGGTAACTGGGAAAATGATAACAAGGTCCCATTCATTACAGAGGAGGGGATGTCCACGTGCCGGAAAAGGGAGGTTTAGGTTTCAGACGTGAGAAATCTTAGGTGCTAGAAAGCTATCCGAGGAGAAATGTCCACTTGAAGATACCGTGTTTATCTTACAGCAAAGAGTCTTCAAAATAACTGAAACCGCCCCGCCGGTGTGGCTCAGTGGTTGAGTGTCGACCTATCAACCAGAAGGTCACAGTTCGATTCCTGGTCAGGCCACCTGCCCGGGTTGTGGGCTCGATCCCCAGTGTGGGGCATGCAGGAGGCAGCTGATCAATGATTATCTCTCATCATTGATGTTTCTATCTCCTCTCTCTCCCTCTCCCTTCTTCTCTGAAATCAATAAAAAAATATTTTAACAATAATAAAAATAACTGAACCCATGAAAATGAGAGAAAGTAGCTAAAATAAGGACTGCATCGTAAGGAATGCCCACTAGTAGGATATGGAAGATAGAATAGTTGAAGAAAACAGAGGACTAGTTGGCAGATTAAAAACAATTTAAAAAAATCAAACTCAAAATAACAAAAGTATTTCATAGAGGAGGTGGCCAATAGTACCAACCATAATAAACAGTCAAGAAGGATAAGAACCAAAAATTTATCACAGTAAGTTTCTATAATTAACCTATATTGTACCATATAAAGAGATCAGGCCCTAACCTGTTTGGCTCAGTGGATAGAGCATCAGCCTGCGGACTCAAGGGTCCCAGGTTTGATTCTGGTCAAGGGCATGTACCTTGGTTGCGGGCACATCCCCAGTAGGAGGTGTGCAGGAGGCAGCTGATTGATGTTTCTCTCTCATCGATGTTTCTACTCTCTATCCCTCTCCCTTCCTCTCTGTAAGAAATCAATAAAATATATTTTAAAAAAAAAGAGAGATCAGGAAAGACATCCCAATAAATACTAAATATGTACTGTTGATCATATATCATATGTTATACCACGGCCAACAATACATGTTCAGGCTGAGTGTCTTCTGTCTACATTACTCAGAGTCTTCTGGACCTAAATCATGAAGGGTAGACATTTCAAAACTGACAGCCCGGAAAGCCCTGCTGTCCTGGAAAGCCTTTGAGTTTCTATGTTTGTTGTCATTGTGGTCCAGGACAACGCACTATTGTTAGTAAACAAAAAGGTAATAAAAACCAATCATTAAAAAGGCATCTTAGCCCGGCCAGCATGGCTCAGTGGGTAGAGCATCAGCCTGCCGACCGAAGGGTCCCGGGTTCGATTCCGGTCAAGGGCACGTACCTAGTTTGCAGGCTCCTCCAGGCCTGGGCCCTGGTCAGGGCTCGTGCAAGAGGCAACCAATCGATGTGTTTCTCTCACATCGGTGTTTCTCTCTGTCTTTCCCTCTCTCTTCCACTCTCCCTAAAAATCAATGAAGGAATATCCTCGAGAGAGGATTAACCCCCCCCTCCCCAAAAAATACAACAAAAAAGCATTTTATAATAAGAATACTATTCCTACCGGAACCGGTTTGGCTCAGTGGATAGAGCGTCGGCCTGCGGACTGAAAGGTCCCCGGTTCGATTCCGGTCAAGGGCATGTACCTTACATCCCCACTAGGACCCAGTATGGGGTGTGCAGGAGGCAGCTGATCGATGTTTCTCTCTCATCGATGTTTCTAACTCTCTATCTCTCTCCCTTCCTCTCTGTAAAAAATCAATAAAATATATTTTAAAAAAAAAAGACTAGTACTCCTAGCAACAGCAAATATTAACAAGGCTCTTAGTACCATTCAAAAGAGGTTAAGTCATCTTGCCCAATAGGCACACCACACAAAAAACAGGAACAGGAAGTTACAGGTGCACAGAAAGGCCAAGTAGCTGTCAAAATTTGACGTACTGCATTTCCTGACATTGTGGGGCCTAATTCTCAAACACACCAGTGCAAGGAAGACAGCTTCAGCACTCTGCTCTGAAAAAAAGAGGACGAAAACTTGTCTTCTGCGAAGACTCAGCTCTGGATTTAACTCAGTTCAACAGACAGACATGCAACAGTGAGTTCAGCACTGTGCTACACATTTACAATTGGCTGTAGGCACTTCTTAATACTCCACATCTCCCTTTTCCCCCCTTCACTTTTTGTTGTTGTTTACAAAAATTTAGCCTATAGAACAGTATAAAGAAAAAGAAAAACACAGCCCAGCCGGCGTGGCTCAGTGGTTGAGCATCGACCTAAGAACCAGGAAATTACGGTTCGGCATATGCCTGGGTTGCAGGCTCCGTCCCCAGTAGGGGACATGCAGGAGGCAGCCAATCAATGATTCTCTATCATCAATTAAAAGATATATATTTAAAAAAAAAAAAACCCTAATCCCATCACACAAAAAATGAAAACTGTATTTCCTAACAGATTTTTCCCAAGAACATTCACTTTATTTTTACACAAAAATAGTGATCTCATCTTAGCCAGAACATAAACTCTTATAACCTTAGCCTATTATGTTATTTTTCCACTTAGCACATCCCAGACAACTTCCTTTGTCAATACAGAGTAACGTCATCCTTTTTTATGGCTGCACTGGTCTCTGTCTGCATCACAATTAATTCCCTAGTGAAGGAACATGTGGTTTGCTATCAATTTTTTCTACCATAAGCAAGGCTGAAAAATCCTTACATATACATCTTTTTATGCTTGTCTGATTATGGTGGAGGGATAACTTCCTAGAAGAATTCTTAGGTCAAAGAATGGGGGTGGGGTAGTAGAGAAAGATGCCATGCCTGTAAGAATGATAATACAGCACAGCCTTTATGGGTTCTGGTGGGACGGGTAGCTAGAGATGGCAATTTCACTAAGAGCAGCACTAAACAGACTCCTGAGCAAACAGTCAAGGATGGCCCGGCCAGCATGGCTCAGTGGTTGATGAACCAGGAGTTCCCGGTTCGATTCCTGGTCAGGGCACATGCCAGGGTTTCCCACTCAATCCCCAGTGGGGTTCAGGCAGGAGGCAGCCAATCAATGATTCTCTCATCATTGATGTTTCAATCTCTCTCTTCCTCTTCCTTCCTCTCTGAAATCAATAAAAATATTTTTTTTAAAAATGACCCTTCAAACACCCTAAATTTGGTTATTCTGAAGCTGGAAGATAACATTTCTAAAATATTTCCTAAAGTCAAATTTTAATGAAACAACATTGTTAATAATAGTAATAATAAAAACCCACTGAATTATATACTTTAAAATTCATGTGGTGTCTGGCGGAATATCATGGTATGTGAATTTTGTAAGTTGACAATTTGATATAGTCAAAGTAAATGATATCACAGGGAATTTCTCTAACATGGGGTGAAGCAGGGATGAGGAATATAAAACAAAAAGAACAAAACTATTTTCTAAAAGAAACAGAAGAAAGAGATCTTAAGTACTTTTTTAAAAAATCACCACAGATTCCATTGAAAATAAAGAATACTTTCATAAGTAGAGTGAGAACCCTTATGCCAAGACAGAGCTGAGCCAGAACTATGACTATCACGTGAATTACCTTAGGCAAGCCAATCTCGTCCATGGCATTCAACCACTGAATCACATTATCCGTGTGCCGGAAGTGGAGGCCAGTCGCCTAGAACAAATAAAAGACCATTAGGCGGGGGAGAAGGGGGTCCTAATATAAGGTGACAGGAGAAGATCTGGCTTTGGGTGGTGGGCACACGGTGCACTATACAGATCTGGTAACATAGAAACCCTCACCTGAAACCTATATGTTCATGTTGACCAGTGCCACCCCAGTCAATTTAATAAATATTTTTTTTAATTTAAAAAATAGACACGTTGCCAATAGTGACACAATACTAAATAAAAACTCTCTTGCAAGTTTCCTTGACAAACTTTACAAGGTCCCCTTAAATTCAAGGTCTGTCTATAGCATTATGTTCACATTCCATTCCCAACAAGCCAGATCCACATCTCCGCTCCTCTCATTTAAAAACTCCGGAGAGGCCCAGCCGGTGTGGCTCAGTGGTTGAGTGTCGACCTATGAACCAGGAGGTCACAGTTCGATTTCAGGTCAGGGCACATGCCCGGGTTTCGGGCTCGATCCCCAGTGTGGGGTGTGTAGGAGGCAGCTGATCAATGATTCTCTTTCATCATTGATGTTTCTATCTCTCTCTCCCTCTCCCTTCCTCTCTAAAATCAATAAAAATATTTTTTTTTTAAAAAAAAGAAAAGATAAATTTCTGAGATCTTAATTTGGCTTTGGCTTAGGGTCTATACCTTCCTTGTTTCCCTTTAAATTTGAACATAAAAATCTCTTTTGATTGCATCTTCATCCTTAGCTCATTATTACAGTCAACTGCTCTTACATTCGCTGTTGGTTTTGCCATCTTCCACTATTTTATATGCATCCTTATTTCAAATAAGAACTCTGAGGAAGGCTCCCCACAGAAGCTCTTAGACGACTAATTTTGGTCCTTGTCAACTGAACTAAGCAGTCTTCTTTCTCAGGGCCATGGGCCACAGGAATCAAACCCTTTCACTTATCTCCATTTTCTGAAACTGGATCGCTTCCCACTTTACTTTGCACTCTAATATCACAGGTTGATCTTTTTTCCCTAAAGTTGTTAATACTTTCAATCAACCCTTTCACTTATCTCCATTTTCTGAAACTGGATCGCCTTCCCACTTTACCTTGAACTCTACTATCACAGGTTGATCTTTTTTCCCTAAAGTTGCTAATGCTTTCAATTTGCCAACAAATCTCAGGACTTGGTTAAAGTTAAAGTAGTTCCCCTAGTTACTTCCACTACCTTCTAAGAAATAAAAAATACATCAAGGCCCTAGCCAGTTTGGCTCAGTGGATAGAGCATCGGCCTATGGACCGAAGGGTCCCGGGGTCAAGGGCATGTTCCTTGGTTGCAGGCTCCTCCCCCACCCGGGGCCTTGGTTGGGGTGTGTGCAGGAGCCACCAATCAATGTGTTTCTCTCACATCGATATTTCTCTCTGTCTTTCCCTCTCTCTTCCACTCCCTCTAAAAAATCAATGGAAAAATATCCTCAGATGAGGATTAAAAAAAAAAAAATTTTCACAAGGGCCATGACGATACCCACCATCACAAGAAATGTATCAGAAATACAAACAGCTGAAGTTCTTCTACTACTATATCTTGTTCTCTCTGTCTTTCCCTCTCTCTAAAAATCAATGGAACAATATCCTCGGATGAGGATCAAAAAAAATTTTTTTTCATCAAGGACCATGATGAGACCCACCATTGCAAGAAATATATCAGAAATACAAACAGCTGAAGTTCTACTACTATATCTTCACTTTGCACTATTTTCTCCACTTTTGTTGGAACAAACACCCTTACACTCATTTCTCAGTAACTCGTACACAGGAGAAAGCATGCTAACCTCTCTCACGTTCACGGCCGTGTTAGTGCCACGCCGGGAGGACTCACCTTGTATCTGGTCTGCTCCCGGTCGTAGATTTTCTTCAGGGACACCACTTTGGGAGAGAAGAAGTTCCCGAGTTTGGCGAGGTAGACCCCGTTCCGAAGGCCCTCCTCCAGCTCCGTGGTGGGAGGCAGGTCTTCCCCCAGGCATGCTTCCATCCACCTGCACAGAGGGAGGGAGGACTTGAGACAAGGCAGGGAGGACTGAGCATTCCTCAGAGGATCAAGTTTAATTTCCATTCTCCTCGAGTGGGAGGCAGGTCTTCCCCCAGGCATGCTTCCATCCACCTGCACAGAGGGAGAGAGGACTTGAGACAAGGCAGGGAGGACTGAAGCATTCCTCAGAGGATCACGTTTAATTTCCATTCCCCTTGGAGAGGCTTAAGGTGAACATAAGCAACACTCCTTTACGATCCAAGTTCAGCGTCAACCAGGAGGTCACGGTTCGATTCCCGGTCAGGGCACATGCCTGGGTTGTGGGCTTGATCCCCAGTGGAGGGGCGTGCAGGAGGCAGCCGATCCATGATTCCCTCTCATCATTGATGTTTCTCTCTCCCTCTCCCTCTCCCTGACTATCTGAAAACAATAAAAAAAACATTTTTTTTAATAAAAGATCCAATTTCACAGGCCTTGTCCTGACCCAGTCAGATCTGAGGCAGGGAACTTGGAAAACTTCTGGAGCATGAATGCCACCTTCTTCTCTACCCTACTTTCCTCTCTGCGGCCCCAGAGCCAGCTGGCTCCCAGGTCCTGACTGTCCCATGCACCTCGGATCCGTTCCCTCAGTCCTTAGGTTACTCCTTAAGGACTCCTACGGAAAACCATTTGTAACCGAAGCCACCATCTCAACTGTTTTATTGCCGAAGTTCTCCTCTGAGTTTTAGCATTCAGAACCCACAGTGAATTTCTAGGTTCAAGGTTTTATGGTTGTTTGGGGTTGCCAAAATAGTCAGTTATCTTGGCTAAAACACTGAAGGTACCTCTCATGAAAGCAATAAAAATGAATTCTTCAGTGCTTTTCAGAGAAGGAGAAGAGGTTGTAAAGACGTAAGGAAAACTGTATTTTGTCCCTCGAACACTTCTCGAAAGATTTCAGGGAAGCCCAAGATACAACAAATCAGAGTTTAATTGCATATGTTTTCTACAAACAGAAAGGTGTGTAACTAAAAATCATTTAGACTGCAGGGGTCCTCAAACTACGGCCCGCGGGTCACATGCAAATACAAATATTGTATTTGTTCCCGTTTTGTTTTTTTAGTTCAAAATAAGATATGTGCAGTGTGCATACGAATTTGTTCATAGTTTTTTTTTTTAAACTATAGTCCGGCCCTCCAACGGTCTGAGGGACAGTGAACTGGCCCCCTGTTTAAAAAGTTTGAGGACCCCTGATTTAGAGCAATGATTTTAAACCTTTTTTTTTTGAGTCACAGAATCCTCTGAACAGCTAAGAAACACTATATGATCCCAAAAATCAGTGACGCCCTAGACCCGTGGTCGGCAAACTGCAGCTCGCGAGCCACCTGCGGCTCTTTGGCCCCTTGAGTATAGCTCTTCCTAAGCCTTAGGAGTACCCTAATTAAGTTAATCAAACCGGTTAGGACTATATAGTTTAAGTTTAAAAAATTTGGCTCTCAAAAGAAATTTCAATCGTTGTACTGTTGATATTTGGCTCTGTTGACTAATGAGTTTGCCGACCACTGCCCTAGACAGTTTGGCTCAGTGGATTTTTAAAAAATAATAAGGAAAAGCAACAATTTCCCGTATTTCTCAAGTTCTATCAAATAGTCACTCAACCTCATTTTCAAATCTGTTATACTTTTAAAGCAGCCAGCATACTGTCTGTCCAATACTCTTAAATAAAGACTGCCTGGATATATGAATGGGCGAGAGAATTTTCTGGTCATTCTCTCAATTCAATGATAATAAATAAAATTTCCTCTTCTGACTTTTCTTTCAGGTAGAATTTAAATGTCAGGGATGAGGAGGGGGAGAAGGGCTGGGGGTGGGGGTGGGGGCCCACCAGGAAACAAATGAGTTTTCCAGAAGAGATGCCAGAGTCACTAAATTAGATAGCAATTTGTAACAGTTACAAAATCCAAACTCTACTTCAGGAAGAGCCTAAAGACCACAGGACGATGGGGAAAACAGTGTAGGTTATTGGTACAGAAAACGGGTGTAGTCTCAGGACAAACCTCATACAGCCATCCCTCCAATATTTCACTGCTGAAAGGACACAGCAAACAGCTCCTGGCAACCCAGCCCTCGGGGGCAGTCTACCCCCTGTGATCTCATTGACAGGGACATCCTAGAACAGTGGTTCTCAACCTTCTGGCCCTTTAAATACAGTTCCTCATGTTGTGGTGACCCCCAACCATAAAATTATTTTCGTTGCTACTTCATAACTGTAGTGTTGCTACTGTTATGAATCGTCATGTAAATATCTGATATGCAGGATGGTCTTAGGCGACCCCTGTGAAAGGGTCGTTCGACCGCCAAAGGGGTTGCGACCCACAGGTTGAGAACCGCTGTTCTAGAACAACTCAGTGTGAGCCAGCAGCAGCTCTTTGCCATGTAACAGTATGAAGAAAAAATTACTTTTCTTCTCAAAATAAGGTGAACACACAGGGAAGACGATGAATAAGCAGCACAGTATGTGTTTTTGCCTTGAATCAGAGCCAGTTACCAAAGTTGTGTGGGCTTTCCTCTCCTCTGGGATTACTACTAGATTCATATCAGCCCCAGCCGGTTTGGGTCAATGGATAGAGAGTCGGCCTGGGAACGGAAGGGTTCTGGGTTCGATTCCGGTCAAGGGCACATGCCCAGGTTGTGGGCTCGGTCCCCAGTGAGGGTGGTGCAGGAGGCAGCTGATCAAAAATTCTCTTTCATCACTGATGTTTCTCTCTCTCCCCCTCTCCCTTCCTCTCTGAAATTAATAAAAATATATTTTAAAAAAATATATATCCAAGTAAAAGCAGGGACCATGCAACATCTCCCACAATCCTCTCTGTGCTTTCCCTAGTCTGACTGCTGTAAAACAGTCCGGATTAACAGCTACACCAGGACGTTTCCTGTAGTGACGCAGAACATCACTCAAGGGTCAGGCCAGAGGGAGAGAAGCCAAGTGTGATTTGGTGAAAGGGAGAGACAGTCAGAGAGCTAGGAGAGGTAGGCAACCAGGCAATCACCAGAAAGACAAGAAGTAACAAGTGTTGGGGAGGATGTGGAGAAAAGAGAACCGCTATGCACTATTGGTGGGACTGTAAATTGGTGCAGCCACTCAGAAGGCAAGAGGGAGGGTCTTCAAAAAAATTAAAAATAGAACTGTCATAGGACCCGGCCATCCCACTTCTGGGTATACAGTCAAAGGAAGTGAAACAAAATCTGGAGATCAAAGGTAGGTGTGAACTCCCCTCTTAATTGCAGCATTATTCACAACAGCCAAGATATGGAAGCAACCTAACTGTGCATCAACTTATGAATGGATAAAGGTGTGTGTGTGTGTGTGTGTGAAAATTAAAATATTCAGATATGAGAAAAAAGAAAATCCTGCCATTTGTGACAACATGGATGGAACTTGAGGGCATTATGCTAAGTAAAATAAGCCAGACAAAGACAAATATTGCATGGTATCTCTTCTATGTGCAATCTAAAAAACAACGCAAAAAAAAAAATCTCGTAGAAATAACAGAAAAGTGGTTCCAGGAATACGAGAAATAGGGACAGGTTGGTAGAAGAGTACAAACCTCAAATACATAACACATGGTGAGTACAGCTGAGAACACTGTGCTGTATAAGTGAAATCTGCTAAGAGAGTAGAATATAAATAAATGTTCTTACCAAAATAAATAAATATGTGAGGTGATGGATATGTTAATTAACTAGATGGTCCTTTTACAATGTGTACATATAACAAGTCATGACAATGTACTTAAAATGTCTTATAATTTTGTATGCTAATTATACCTCAAAGCGGAAATAAAAAATAAAATCATTGCCCTAACCGGTTTGGCTCAGTGGATAGAGCATCCTCCTGAGGACTGAAGGGTCCCAGGTTCAATTCCGGTCAAGGGCACATGCCTGGGTTGTGGGCTCCATCCCCAGTGGGGGCTGTGCGGGAGGCAGCCGATCAATGATTCTCTCTCATCATTGATGTTTCTGTCTCTCTCTCCCTCTCCCTTCCTCTCTGAAATCAATAAAAATATGTAAAATAAATAAATAAATAATAAGTCACTTACAAGCAAAGTTCTGAGAATGTCATACCAAGTGGTGATATGACATCAGCACACCCACCTGTGATCAGGATGCTCGGCCACAGCCACAGCCGCAACAAAACCCTTGTATTTCTCACAGTATTTCTCATAAGAGTTGAAGAAAACGGAGGGAAGAGTTCTGAGTCCTTCCTCTCAAAACAAGGGACAGAAACTTTCAACATTTTATCCTCCTCAATGGCTCATTTTCACTATAAGTAACACTAAAAATATAACCTCTAACCCCACATGGCAGATAGGAAGCTAAATGCTTCGCATGAATTATCTCACTTGATACTTGCAAAAAGCCATAAGGGAAGTAGCAATATTGTTCTTATCTTCCCGATACGGAAACCACGCGCTCCTAAAAGTAAAATAATCTCTCCAAAATTACCGAGCTTGTAAGTGGCTAAGCTCACTCTTTTTAAAATATATATATATTTTTTTATTTATTTCAGAGAGGAAGGGAGAGGGAGAGATAGAAACATCAATGATGAGAATCGCTGATCGGCTGCCTT